TAGGATACTGATTACACCTACATTCCTCTGGAATATGGAAATAGCCGTATGTCAAGTTAAGGCCGTATTTTCCAGCTATGATCTAACTTTCATAGAACCCAAGGTGCTTGTCAAACTTCCACCGCACTCATACGCCCTTTACCTTTTGGGCCAGTTTGAGTCCTTCATGGGATTTGATTATCATTGGTACCAAAAGAAGCGCTTTCGTGCTCGAATAAATGCCCTATATGATCCATCGCAGTCACAGGCAATCGAAAAAACATGGCTTTGTTGTTTTTCTGTTGTGTTGGCCCTGGGAGATTCATATAACGATAGTGTTGCCCCAGCTTTCCTCATTGACAACAGAACAGGGTTCTCTACAGATGGTTGTGCCACAACGAACTTCGAACAAGTACCCCCTCGGGGAATCGAACTTTTTAAACAGGGATTGCTCCTTCTACGGCCGTCCTACGAGGAACCGACAATAGAGCAGGTTGAGGCTCTCAATCTCATGGTAGGTTTTTTTACTAAATTGTGATACCCATCAAATAAGTCTGACTCTGGATAGACATTTTACTGCTACTCTCTCAATCGACGTAAAACAGCTTATGCATATGCTGGGATGGCTCTCCGATTGGCCATGCTCCTCGGGCTTTCAAGGCCACAAACAAAAATGAGTTTACGGGAGCAGGAACATCGCAAACGCATTTGGTGGACGACGGTCTGCATGGATATAATGACTTGCACAGAGTTGTCGTTGACGCCAGCTGCCGCTTTTGATGAGGACAGCGTCGGATTTCCGGATAATTCCGAATTATCCGTGAGAGATGCCGAAGAATTCTCAGATCCTCAGTATCTTACCGCGCAGGTCAAGCTGTGCCGTATCAAATACCAGATTCTCAAGAAAATTTCTGAACTCCGTTTTGGGAATGCCGTCGAGGCGCAGGCACTTATTGAGCCTTGCATACACGCTTTGAAGAATTGGAGACTGGAGTTCTCGCCAACTTTGGAATTCACCGAAGAGGGAGAATTTTCGGACGAAACTCTGACTTTGCCACCGATGCGTACGATCGCATCTCTGCTCCTTCGCTATAATCAGGTAAGAAGCGCGGTTTCAGATTTGAAGGGATGCATGACGGTGCTGATGAATCAGTGTTTAATACTTCTTCTTCGCCCGTTGTTGTTGAAACAGCTCTATGATATCATCCATGAACAAGTTGCCTTAGAACCTCTCAATGATCTCGCAAGTCTAAACACACAGTGCTTGCAAGCTGCAACAAATAATACAAAAATCCAATTCGCTCTGTCAAAGTGCCACAAAATCGGTGTGTATCTTCCTCTCACCGGAAACTGTCTTTGATACCAAGTTTCCAGCACTTCCAGCATTCTAATCTCTTTATAGCGAAATTCGGATTTTGGGAGTCCCTGCACATATTTTCCAGCCTGACCGTTTATGTGATCTCTGGCTTTTTGATGGAGAAACGGGCCACTTCATTCACTAGTGCCCAGACCAATGTCCCTTACACTCCAGTGAGGAATTTGCTCGGGGAAATGGCTCGAGTTGGCAATGCGGCATCAAAGGACCATGAGAGAATGATTCAAGACATAGAGGATCTATTCAGGGAAACTCCTTCCCACACAGGCCTGACTGAGGGGATCGAGGATCTGGGACATTGGCCGGAGTGTGTGAATGTTGAAAGCATGGGCTTTGACGTCGATGAGACGTTGTCATCATTTGGCTGGTCATGAGTGAAGGACTGATCTGCGAAGGAGCGTGGTGGCCAGAGGTCCGATGTCTGCTATTAGACTGGCAGAAATTTTAATAGCTAGATTACCATGGCAGGAACCATAATTAGCAAGGTACTCAAACTCGACAGATGAAGCCATCCCCACTTCGCAAGTCTCTATATATTTGCCTGCTTCAAATGGTCTATCTGGGTCATCCAAGTCCACATGTTTAAAGAAATGATAGCCATTGCCGGTTTACACATTCCTAATTAATGACCTGTATTTCCTATAACTCCACAAATTGAAAAAATGGTAGAACTAGGATAGAATACTAAGATGGCACCATATTTATCTGTGTTGTCGTTATACCTACTAGTCAATACCAGTATCGTTTACCTTGTCAGCTTTTACCCTACGAGCTTGCCATCCCACCAGAAGACTGAGAATGGGAGACGGTCCATGGGCAAGGAACATTTCAGCGCGGTCGTAGGATCTGGATAGCACACCTCCTTTGTCGCATTGGATTTCACTGCAATCACTTCCATTTGTGGCGCACGCAAAGCGGATGCATCTCGCTTCAGATTGCGCCATCACTTGAAACGGTGGGCAATCACGACGCTCCTGGGCACATCTGGCTCTACCGAAACATCCAAACTTGATCGAGTTCCAAGTTTATTTCTTTTGAAGTCTGAGCTCGATGGAATTTTCCGTTCTTTGTTTCCCAGATGTGTCGAGCGGCCCGGTAGGGACGTGGTTTCTTTGATATCCTTGAACCTTCTGCTAGTTGTGCAATCATCGTAATCTCCTCGTCTGCCCCGCAGCTCTTTGAGTGAGCCACCGCATGAATAGAAAGTGAGCTGCTTCCCAGGTGGGATGGAGGATTGTGCCCTGTTGAACTGAGATCAAGTAGGTTGTAAATTTTAAAATGCCGGAAGCCAAGATACATGGGCTGCCTCTTATGTGACTTATACTGATAACTGGCTTCTTTCCAGCGGAACGAATGAACCACTGATAAATAATGTAACCTTAAGGATTTGGATATGAAGGTGTATGAGTGACGATATGTCGGTGTTCTCTTTCGAAATCACCTCTAGGCTACACGACCACAATTGTTCGTCGGGACATGATTCGACTACGGGCTCAACGAAGGTGGCGTCGATGTTGAAAGTTCGAGTTCCTTCCTTTTGAGTAAACTGAACATGGCTCAAGGTCTCTGACTTCAAATCCTCAAAGAATTTTATCAGTGTTACTTTAGCCGCACCAATAGTATTAAATTCGTCGAAGATCATGTGGAGGCTGCCTATGCTAGTACTGGCAAGAAATCAACAAAGAATAGTACGTTGAATCTCTCAGAAATCTAGTCCTACAGTCGATATATATTTCCCGTCTGGTCGTTGGACAATCTAACCAAAGGTTCTACATCGAACCTCTTGTCCCAATGGCAGAGTTTGATGACCAGCACAACAGAGTTCCTGAGTCAGTCTTCCTGGTGGGTATCAAGCAAAATGACCAGAAAGATTTAGTCTAAATCACTAACCTTCTAGTTATAGGGCGTTCTATGGGCTCTCACCGGCCTATCTTTTATGTCTGTTGTATTCCGTTTATATGCTCAAGTTACTTCATTCCGACGACTATTCATAGATGACTTACTCGTTTTCCTTGCTTGGGTCATTATACTCACCGCTGCAGTCATTTGGCAAGTCAAGGGCAGAGTTCTCTACGAGTTATACGCTATCAGCGCTGGCACAAAGCCATTCAATCTTGAATTCTTGCCGAAATACAATACATTCATGCGCTATAACGCTCCATTTCAGATACTATTTTATTCGGCGCTGTTTTGTGTCAAGTTTTCCTTCATGGCACTTTTCTATCGGATCAGTGCCAAGGTCAAATCCCTCCGCATCTGGTGGTTCATGGTCTTTTTCTGTACAGCAAGTGTCTACATCGCATCTGTGGCTGATGTCGAATACAAGTGCAGTTTTGGAGGTCTGGAGTATCTCATGAGTAAGAACGAGCGAACTCAATAGGATTACTTTACCCTGACACAAACTCTCCAGCTCAATGTCCTCAACCTTATCACATTCATTATGAGAATCGCATGTTCTGGGCCAACTGTGCTGGGGATGTCATAACCGATTTGATGAGTGAGTTGAATGCAAAAATGCCATCATCTTAAGGCACTATTTTTTTTTAAATCTAACAACATTCGTCATGTCAGTCCTGTCCATTCCCTTCCTTGTGCTATGGAAAACACGAATCTCACTCCGCAAAAAGCTCATTATGCTGAGCATTTTCTCCGCAACCATCTTCATTATGGTCACCGCTGTACTCCGGGTGGCTGTTGGGATGAACTATGAACGTCAGATGAATATCGACTGGCTATGCTTCTGGAGCTTTATAGAAGTGGATGTTGGTATGTTGTCCCAATTTTCATCTAGTTCTTGTCTTGAAACTGACCCTCAACTGGTAGCGATAATTGTATCCTGTGTCGCATCTCTCCGCCAGCTCTTCGTCGTCTCCCAGAATCAGAGCTCCTATGCAAGAGCCACTTACCGGAATACGGACGAACACATTTTGAATAAATCCAAAGAGGGTTATGGCCAAGATCTGTCGCGATCTGTCGGGGATGTTGAATCAGAGGTACCCATGTCGCCGTTGAGCGTTGTACATGTTCGTCAAGATTTCGAAGTGACTCGTGTTGATGCAAGCCAGCATACTTATGGTGACAAGTTATTTCGACATCAGACTAGCTTTGACTAGTTTGGGACTTTCATAGTGCTACTTGCTTCTGAGTGTAGATCCTCTCCGATTTGCAATCAACTTTTTATATCCAATCGGGACAGCTCAAAAAACCATCAAGGGAATTTCTCCCGGGTTTTCAGCGCACTGCAGGGCTAGAATTAGCATATTCACTCGTTGGAGGGGCTCAAGACGCATGGAATTAGTCAATTTAAAAAAAGGAAAGATTTCTCCTAAGCCTCCCCGTGAGCCCTATAACTCCCAACTTCATGGTGTTCTATTTTCCACGACCTCCGGGCTTTGCCTAGGCACCCCGTCAACACGACAAGGATCATGTGTGATCCACAAGAAACTCCACAAAAAAACATCGGAAAGGCTAGAAATGAAGCCAAATTTCTGAAGCGGGCTCTGACAAGAGCAGGTATCCCTGGGCATTTTAAAGTCATAGAACTCATCCAGGAGAAGTAGGAGATTGTAAATAATGGCCTGCTGATGTTGTTGAATGGGCCACCAATTCAGGCTCTTTAAACGCTCTTAGACATCGTTTCGGTCGGTTTGGATTTGATGCAAACACCGTTAAGTCTCTCTGACAGAATACTGCCTTTATAGATCATTTGTCGGTGTCCGCTTGGCCAGAGCCCGGACAACATCAGGTTCCTCCTGGAAAATGGGGCAGATCCAAATGGGAGTGACATGCCGAAGAAAAGAATACCCTTCGAAGTGGCAGTCAAGGT